ACTACTACTACTACTACTACTACTACCACTATAACTACTACTACTACTACTACTACTACTACTACTACTACTACTACTACTACTAATACTACTACTTTCACTACAACTACTACTACCACTATAACTACTACTACTACTACTACTACTACCACTATAACTACTACTACTACTACTACTACTACTACTACTACTACTACTACTACTACTACTACTACTACCAATATTACTACTACTACTACTACTACTACTACTATTACTACTACTACTACTACTATACAGATGAATGTGTTAAACAACCTTTGGTAGAAATTCATCTAAAACTCATTGAACGAGACTTCCTGTAGCACCAGTTTGAGAACGATTTCGAACAGAACCATTTGAGAAGAATTAAGGGACTCGTACGGACTCTTTGACAGAGTTTCCTCATTCAGCCAACTCTAAGATACATTACACAGAAAAACCATTGATGGAAGAATCTAAAAACACCAATTGAAAGAAACTTGACATCGAACCCATTGAACCGTTGCTTTAATTTTCACAGAACCATTAAAGAGGCTCTTCACAGAAAAATTGAGCGATACCCCAGAAATAACAACATTTTGAGTGTTGTTTTGTCTTGGTATGAGGTGCAGGTACCGTAGCTCATTCGATATGGATTGATTTGATTGGTTGATGATGTTACCTTTTAGCAATATCAGGTTAGTGAACTACGGTATCCTGTAACTGGTATCGATTCTATCATTTTTCTAGGCTGTATTGTGATACAATGGTTGTTAAATTTACATGGTAATAGTAACCCTACAGTTTGGGCATTGAGAAAAAAGTATACCTGCTTTTATCCACAACATGATTCGTAAGTGACCCCCAATTTGGGAATCCCTCTGCCGAATCGGAAATTATCATTTGACCCTTACTAAGCGGGGACAAGAAAAGCGATCAGAATATGTCTTTTTCATGCATTGCAACATTTGGTATCTTTATATATGCTCTTTGTTTCGTTTCCTGATGCCTTACTGGGAAATGTCTTCTGTTTGTCTTAGTGTCCAGTGTTCACACGAATGAGAAAATTTATGAGTTATGTTCCCTGACCGACATAAATTGAGGCCCACTACCTGCTATCTGCTTCACGTTCAGTGAATGTCAGCAAGGACTGTTTATCCCGTTGTCAATATATGTATAACGTGACCGGCTGGTGTGTCATGTTACAGTGTCAAGTCACTTCACCGGATGATGTGTCATACTACAGTGTCCAGTCACTTGACCGGCTGGTGTGTCATGCTACAGTGTCCAGTCACTTGCAAGTGGCCCTCAAGTGGTCCCATCATATATGAACAACGTTTTTATATCAGATTTTTATGTTGTGAGGAAATATAAACACCAAACAAACTTGTTTTAAAACTTTTGTGTCTTTTTTTTACTTTACAGATTGTCCGTAGAAATGAACGTATTAGGAGTGTACAGGGTTATACAACTTTTGAAGAAAATGAAACACCTTGAGGTAATATCCTGGAACAATAAACGATTGTTTAATTGAATATTGTGCTACAAAATATATTAATTATTCTGACATTTAAGAGTATATGGCTACTGACAACATGCCATTGGTTGAGAAGTTTAGTATTTTAAATGCGAAATTTACCAACTATGATTTCCAGACAATGACTTACTTTTGATGCAAAAGTTAAATTTGTCATCATTGACAATATCACGTTTTACTTTTTTCGGAACATTTACTTAATTTTTTTAACGTTAATGCAACTTTGTTGAGTGCTTTATTTCACATAATACAGGCATTTTCAAATTGAAGCTTCTCCTGAAAAAACAGTAGCAGACTTATTTTTTTCATGACACCCGTCTTAATATGACATATAATTCATAGCATATTTGCAAACTGATTTGACTTCAGGTGATTGTGACGTCAATGCATTACCGACCAGTATCGGCCATTTGCTGTGTTCTATTTATTACTTGTATGGTGATGTTATTTAAATAGTTATAAACCTATTGTTTGTGAATAACTACGGGTATTCCTAAAATCATAAATATAAGAAGGTACATATTTATTAGTTAATTTGCGATTTTCATGTCAATATAAAGTCTGTGACTTTACAAATATAAGATGAAGTGCAGGCTGGCTTCAAAGCCTATGTTTGATTGCCGCTTTACTTCATACGGGATAAAACATTGGACGTATTCTTCTTTTATCGTCTTTTCATCTGTCTTATTCTGTCACACAGGCCTTTCTGCACGTGTCCACGGCATATGCAAACTGTCACAAGCGCACTGTGGAGGAGCACATTTATGACCCGCCCATACACCCACACAAACTACTAGACGCTGTAGGGTAAGTATATTCTTCATTGATCCATCATAACAGTCAAGGTCAAAGTTCAAATGAGGGGCTTTGTGGTGTTGATTTTTTCCGAACGTATGACGTATGAGTGATTTTCCTATAAGGCCAAATCATATGTAAGTTGTGAATGCATTACTTACATACAACTGTAGAGATAGTGTTGAAATGATACGTGGCGTTCGGATTACCTTAGGTTTGGGGTTATGTGTTCGATTCTTTGCCCACACATAAAACAATAATAATCACGTGTTTGGATATTTATTGAAAAAGTTCTACTTCTCTTTGGTTTTGGTAATAGCATTGTAAACTGGTTTAAAACTTTACATAATAATGTTCATTCAGCTATAAATTAGGGGGGAAACATATCTTCATTCTTTGATACAGGAGGGGCTGTCGACAGGGGGATCCAATCGCACCGTATCTGTTTATTCTTTGTGCAGAGGTTTTGGCTACACAATTGAGAAATAATAGAAATGTAAAAGGTATAGATTGAAAATTGCCCTTTTTTATTATCACAATATGCCGATGACACTTCACTTATACTTGATGGCGCTGAGAAATCACTAAAGGAAGCAGTAAAAGAACTAAATGAATTTGCAAACAATTCTGGTTTAAAAATGAACATTGATAAAACTCAGGTGATATGGATTGGTAGCAACAAGTAAAGTGAAGATTGTTTTTTACCTGAACTTAATTTGCAGTGGGGAAAAGAAACATTTGTGTTGCTAGGAATTGAATTTAGTGTGAATCTTCATGAAATACCAAAACTTAACTTTGACAAAAAACTTATCAAACTAAAATCTCTAGTAAAAGTTAAAGGTCATTAAAACCTATTGGAAAAAATAACATTATCAAATCATTGCTCATCTCTCAATTTAATCACCTGTTTATATTATTACCTAATCCAGATGATAGATTTATTAACAAATATTATTTGATTATTTTTGGAGTGGAAAACCAGACAAAATTAAAAGAGAGATAATTATTCAAAATTATGCTGATGGTGATTTGAAGATGATCAATCTTGTTGCATTTATAAACTCTCTTAAACTTACTTGGATCAGAAGACTCTATCAGAGTACTGAGAAATGGCAGGCCATACTTAAAACTTATATTGACATAGATCTTCTTGCAAATTGTGGTTCTGAATATATTCAGATATGTGTAAATAAGTGTAAAAATAAATTCTGGAGTGATGTGCTCAAATCAAGGTACACACTAAATACAATATATTATGATAAAATTCTTCAGGAAAACATATTGAAAGTTCCCATTTGGTATAATAGTAAAATCAAGATAGGATGAAGGCAGGTCTTTTATAAAAATTATTATCAGAAAAACATTTTTATTATAAATGATATGATATAGGAGGTTAGCACAGGTTTGTTTTACACATTTGTAGAATTTATTCAAAAATACCAAGTAAACACATTTTTTTACAGTATCTGGGTCCTGTCTCTGCAGTTAAAGACTTTATTTAATCATATGATACATACAGACATGAGATAATTTATCCCTACATACCTATCACATTATAACTTTTTCTTAGAGATAAAAAAGGGTCAAAAATGTTTTTCAACATCATAATCAAATCGAACAAGATACCATCCGGCACCAGAAAATGGAGTACTATATTCGACAACATGGATAAACTAACCTGGTGTAAAATCTACAAAATGCCATTCTGTGTACAACAAATACAAAACTTCAGTGGTTCCAGTATATAGTGATTCATCATGTACTTACATCTAACTCATTTGGAGTAGTTGTCTCCCCTCTTTGAGTACTATGCAACTCTGAACCGGAAACAATTACTCATATATTATGGTATGTGAAGAAGTACAAAGATTACTAGAAAGTTTTGACACATTAATAGAAGCTCTTTTAATCCCATTTTCAGTAAACAAAACATCTTTTCTTTTTTGCCTTCTTCATCAGAATTTTCTTCCCAGTAATCGAGTAGATAATGAAATCATCATCATTATAAAGCAGTATATTTACAGAATGATATGTTTTCATAACTCATTAAATGTAAACGCTCTTGTAAACATAATAGAGGACAACTATCAGATTCAAAAGTACATTGTTAATGGTAAGGATGAAAAAGCTAAACATTAATTCGAAAATGACTGGAAAAAATGGGACAAACTAATTAAGTTGTAATACATTTTTATTATCATTATCATTATTATTTTTAAGACGTACTCCATCATACATATTTTAATTTCTGCCCTTCACAAAGCCGATATATTATCTATATATAATATAATATACATGAGTGAATATCCACCTCTTGTTCCACCATCTCGCTCCAACTTTTCCTACATTTTTTCTCTCTTTTCTTTATGTTCCCTGTTCTCCCTTTCTTTTTATTTTCTCAATCTCTATCTCAATTCCTCTTTCTTATAAAGACAATGCAATGTACACAGTAGACAGTCTGCAAATTTCTCATTTACCTTTTTGTGTGGGACTGATATTTCTTCTCTTTGCATTTAGATATATCAATATTCAGTAGATACAGGAATGTCTGAAAATGTCTAATATCATGCATATGGGTATGTGTGAGTACAACGCATGTCAGTATGGTGAAATCATAATAATTATGTTTATACATGGACATTGGTGTTTTTGACATGGACATGAGTTATACCGTATGTGCGGTTATATATAATTTAGTGCAGATATTTATTCCAGCATAAAGATATATACCATATGTGATGAAGGTTGATATGTGTTCTTATTTCACACGAGACATAGTAATGAACGATTGAGACATATATATGTCAGACACATGGATGGATGCATATAAAATGTATGTACTCTATGACAAATGTGGACATAACAGATAAAGGTTTATGTATGTATGTGGCAGTATACAAATGAGTGAATGTTTTGTTATTTATTGTACATGTACATTGCGTTGATGAAAAATCTGAATAAAAAGATAAGTATAAAAAAAATCAAAAAAAATCACGTGTTTAGTGAGCTGAAATTTGTATAGTCATCCGTACACTGAAATAACTCCACAAAAAAAGTTCGATTGGCTATTTGCATAGGCGGTTGTGGTCATACGTACGCCTTTCCATTGAACCAATGTATCTTACTATAGGGGCCTAACAAACACATGTTTATAGTGTCTGACATCCTCGATATACAAGTGTTACTCTCACTTTCGCTCTCTGCAACTCTGGAATATATCATAGCAAACCCGAAGGCTTTGTGTGCTACCTTGTGGATGAGACTTGTTTAATCCTTTGATATACATCAAAAGAATCTCGCGGTCACGTAACGGTAAAACTTAATGGCTTTGAAGTCGGGCGTCGCTCCTCTGTTATCCTCAAAGGATAAGTATCAGCCTAGCGATTTGTCAGTTTTTTACCCAACACCAATCAAATAGCTGCGTGCTTTCAATTTTGCTATGACATATTGCAGGGGTGCAGAGAGCCTAACCCCTGAATATCGAGGATGAGTTTCGTAAAGTAAATATAAAACAGTAGATATGATTGATATTCCCAGGTGGATGGAGAGTGACGTATTACAAATCCTGACCCCTAAGATGATCGGTGACCGGCCCAACACATACACTTACACCAAGTCTATAGCAGAATACTTAGTCAAAGAGGAGTGCGCCAACATCCCCACCGCCATCTTCCGTCCGTCTATCGTCTGTGCCACATGGAGTGACCCCATAGAGGTGAGCATCGGTGAATGCATTGTCGATACCACCATATTTATCTGTCCCATCGGTACTGTTTGTTTTATAAACCAACGTGTTGCTTAATGTGTTATTGATGTGGAGTTTCCAAGTGGGTTTCCTGGGGTTATTACTCGGATCCATTCAAAGTTCTCTATGCTTACTATCAGATATAACGTCTTGTTGGGACATGCCCCTGACATAACCTAGAACGGAAATTGTGCTTTTCGTTTTGTAAAAGCAGTGTTTTTTTTTTTAGAAAACAAAAAAGAATATTTAACAGAAGGGTATGCAAAACCTACATAACCAAATGTTTATTGTTTGATTATATTTTTCTGTTTTAGGGCTGGATTGATAACTACAACGGCCCCACTGGTATCATGGCATCCGTATGTACGCTTACCGAAATCACTATGCTAACTGTGAAAACCTATTTAATATTTGACTGATTAAATTTGTATCTAACGTTCTATTTGTACTTCGTCGATGCATACAACTAAACTTCGTACCCTTTTCAATCTTAATTTATATACCCTTAATACACTCATCGCCATATATAGTTACTATACAACATATAAATCAACTGTCCGTTTATCATGTGAGATAAGGCGTGTTAAATTCTGATTCGTCAGACACTTTTAGTTACGGTCATGACATCGGGTTAGAGATATTTTACTTTATGATGTCTTTATGATGTCTTGCGTAAATGGGAGTGAGATCTTAATATTTGAATTTAAAATGTAATGTTTTAATCTTTTTAATCAGCGAAGCATTTAAAATTTAAATAAGACTACTTGATAGACATTTAAAGGTACGTAACAAGGAGTCTTCATGTGTTAATGATACTGTTAATATCATGAACACGATTCCGAATGATTCATATTTGCCTTTCGGAACACCTCGGGCCGATTCCATCATTTCCGATGAAAGAAACTGTTATCGGGGCGAGGTGTTCCGAAAGTTATATTAGCTGTATTTCTCTTTCGGAATACCTTCTCTTGTTACTAGGGTTAAACAAACGCCGAATACCTATGTAGTGCTACTGTTGTCCATTTTGGTACATCACAGTGTGCTACTCGGTAATTAAATCAAGATCGAAGTCTATGGCATGTCCTGCTGTTTTTAAAATGAACAAGATAGCACAAGAAAGCGATATGTGTTTTATAAACCGTAATTAGGATAATACTGAACCCACAGTTTTAAAAACAATTCCACACACTCCTTTAGCGCAAAAGTCCCTTTAAGATAAAATGGTATTAATGCTGTTATTAAGCCCCACTAAAACTTGCCTGGAGAGAGATGTATAGAATCAGTTTTTTTTATAGCTACCTCTTTGTAAAGGTCGCAAAATAAACAATATTTTAAACTCGGTACATTAATTAAAGGATCACTCATTTGATATAAATCGTTAAAAAAACTCGATTGGTGATGGTAATATTACGCCTTTGTCGTGACGTGTTACGCATTATATCGCGAGGATTCGTTATAACGTACTGCTAGTATAACAAATAATTGCCTAGGACTCTGTTATTACCTCTACGTTTACTGTTACCGCAATGCGCACTCAATAATTAATATTGACCAAACGCCGTCTGTGTTTTCGCTAATCATCAGCAACATTTGTCTTGTCTTAGAACTAATGATTTTTCCGCAGAATATGTTTCACATTGGGTTAGTGGTTCGCCGATGTCCATCACGGATGTCAGTTTCAGTTTGTGGCAATTTGCCGATCTCGTTTCAAGCATTGTCGGGAACCCTATCTAAACGGATCATTATAACTGTATATAATATGTTCACTTTGGGATTGATTGACCTGCTTTCCAAGTTGCTATCGATAGAATTACAACAATGCAGACAAACTAGAATTATCTTGACTATTACAGTTAATTCTGTCTATATAACTGCTTCACTTCCATATTTCAGTATATAAAAGTTCAAGTAAAACGACACATTAAAACGATCCTACTTTAAATATTGATCACAGTGTTGTGTTCTGCACACATACATCTGAATGGACGTCAAACATCATGTTATGCCTGTTTACCTATGACGTTTAAGTAATCCTTCTGGCTAAGTGGTTAAGGCGTCTGACATTCTGCTACCACTAGCCCTCCACCACTAGGTCGCGGGTTCGAGGCCCACGTGGGGCAGTTGCCAGGTACTGGCCGTTGGTCGGTTGTTTTTCTCCTGGAACTCTGGCCTTCCTTCACCACCGAAGCCTGGCACGTCTTTACATGGCCATAGCTGTTAAAACGACATCAAACCAAACCAAACTCATCAATACACGTTTTGCAGAACACTAATTGTTGGAGAAAGAAATGACCTGTGTGATCTCAATAAGCACAAAACGTGGAACCCTAGCTAATTATGGGGTTTCCTTACCTGTCCTCTGCTCAGAAGCCTTGATGAAATGAAAATAAATGAAATACCTCTTTATAGGCAGTGTGAATAGGGTTTGTATGACACCCTCCATTTATGTTATATGTATCAGAAAATATAATTATTGATGAAAGAATTATCTGTTAAACCCGACTTCAACACTTACAATTTTAATTTCTCTCTTCCTACACAATTTTGTTGAGTTTATTTGAAATTCTTCGAGAAGACTTCACAGCTAGAGTCTTCATGAAAGGGTGAACACTATAACGCTGTGTTCATGTTTTTTTCCAAACTGATTGTTCAGGATTACTTCTAAATATTAAGCATGCTTTCATAAAAATATCTCATTTTACTACGCTCGCCGAGACGTCCGAAAATATGAGCACAAACCGTTTTCACATAAACGTTTGGAATGCTCTGAAGAGCTCGCTGAGCGTGTTAAAATGTAGAATGTCTTATGAAATCAATATCCACTGAGTAATTACCAGGTACACCGGGAAATGAACAGTGTCTAATAGATTATTTATGCAATGAATGTTTAAGCAAATGTTGTTATGGTCCATAAACGCACATTTCTATTGTTGACAAAGGTATTCTAAGTCACCCCTGGGGGAACATTGGGGACTATTAATTTCGGTTTTAGTCCCAGATTTTGACCTCTGTTGTCTTGGGCTGTTAAATGTATTGCTTCTGTCGGAATATACCAGGCGCTAATTACAAGCTCTTGGATAACTCAGATATCGATTGCCTTTTTAAACAGGAATAGCATAAAACCTAAAGGCGTTCCAAATTTCCCACGGGAATTACATATAACCTTAAGATGTTCCAAGTATGAATCAGGCACCTTTGAGGTTCCCGCAGGGGTAAGCTGTCGTATTATAAATTGCTATTGACTGATTTAGATATTTAATCTCTAACCAACGACTACCGTTTTATATATGCGTATAGTGCGCACTTTTTTTAAGGAAAAATGAAGTATCAAGAAAGGGGTGTACACGATACTCAAGAACAATCCAAAACCAGTCCTTGGTCGCGACCATTTCTCGTAAATGTTTCGAGGATTTTCGGAAATGTCTTGAAATATGCTCACAGCAATATAGCTGCTAAATCTTGAGAGTAGGAATGTGTCAAAACGACATGGATCAAGTGGCGAAGTTAAAGCAAGTTTGTGTACCGCAAACCACAACCTTTGTCAATGATTTATCGGAAAATGATCATACAGAATGATGGGATGACTTTCATGTCATTCTGACATACTTCTAGTTTGTATGCTAGTTTGTCAGCAATAAAAATGTATGTTATAGGACCATTACAATATTTGCTAAAGTAAGCATTATTTACATTTACATTTTGATAGAGTAGTTACGCTTTATTTAGTGATTTCGAACAGTTCTTTTAAACAGCAAATTAAGTATTGATAACGATGAATGCATTGCAACTGAAGGATGCAGAGCAAATGTAAATCTTTTTCTTTAACAACTAAATATATTTGAGTTGGAGTAAATGAATGCAATATTTATCTACTGTATGTGGTCTTAATTACATTTATTACAAGCATCATATGGTGTATGTGGGTTAGGCTACGATAGTAGCAGTGATCGATCTATAACTGCGGCGCAGTATTGTCAAATGTAAATAGACAGGAAACATTTAAACAAACGGAGATACTTGTATCTAACTATCTATCACGTTCGTCTTTTTATACGCCCGTCGACGACGGGGACGTATTATGTTATCACGTGAGCGGGCGGGCGGGCATGCGAACGATGTCCGCTCAATATCTCGAGTAATTATTAACAGATTAACTTCAAACTTCACAACAAGGTTAATTACCATGAAAGCTCGGACAAGTTCGATAACCGCCATTATCCGACCGTAATTATTGGAGTTATTCCCCTTGGTTTCATTAATGCGATGCATGCGTTCCATGATGTTGTATTGCACTCATTGATCTACCAGTTATGTTGAATGATTTCTCTTTTAATATCAATTACTCACAAATACTTCATATATTTCAATCATACAAACAACTGCTCATTCAATGTGTGACGGGCGTATTATATACCGCTCGCGGTAACCTTGTTGTAAATGAAATTACTTTGGCAACATATTTCTATTCTTTATAATGGAAATATATCACCGATTGATAAGTGTTTTATCATACTCCGATAGCGCAACACGTTGCGAAACATAAGATTATGATGTGCTGCTTTGTAGAAGAAGACGGTGTTGGTCTTTGTAACGGTAACATCATATGATACAATGTCCATAGTTAATGCTGCTACGTAAGGGTTATTTTCATTAATTGTTAATTAGAAACTATATCGAAACGTCATAAACTGGTACGGAAAAAAATATCCCAACCCTACGACAGAGTTTTAAAGAAGAAACCCTTTTATATAACTCTTATACAATCATGAAGTGAGCTTAATCAAGTTTATTTATTCCCAAAACCTGCCCCAAACTTACAATTTATGTCTTGAGTAATTTGATAGCAATTTATTCGCACGAATACAACTGAATTTTAAGTTCTGTGTTGTTTTACTTGCAGCTAGGAACAGGTGTATTACGGGTGATGCGCGGGGACCGCCATGCCATATCTGATATTATTCCTGTTGACATGGCTTGTAGTATGATGATAGCAACCGCTTGGTATACCGGTACACACAGGTAAGACACACTCAGGTCTTAATCATAGGTACTACAGGTGAGATAGCGCCAGACCTGAATCACAATTACTATAGGTAAGACATCCCCAGACCGTAACAGGTACTCACAGGTGAGATAGCGTCAGGTGTTAATAACAGGTACTCACAGGTGAGATAGCGTCAGGTTTTTATAACAGGTACTCACAGGTGAGATATCGTCAGGTCTTAATAACAGGTACTCAAATGTTAGATAGGGTCAGGCCTTACTAACAGTTACTCACAGGTGAGATAGCGTCAGGTTTTTATAACAGGTACTCACAGGTGAGATATAGTCAGGTCTTAATAACAGGTACTCAAATGTTAGATAGGGTCAGGCCTTACTAACAGTTACTCACAGGTGAGATAGCGTCAGGTCTTAATAACAGGTACTCACAGAAAAGATAACACCAAAACCCGTATTCATGAAACCGTTCTCATGCTCAAGTATGGAATTTGTTTGCTCAGGCCTAATATCTCATTCTGTTTATAAATTAATAATCATATCTTATTTGTCAATGATTTGGAAAACAAATGAAGATACTTTAAGTGCAATACTGTTTTCAATGTTAGCATTTTACTATTTGATCGTTTTACATGATTTAAATGAGTTACAAGAAATTTGTTTTAAGCACAAAATCAATGCTTGAGCATGAGAACGGTTTTATGCATGCGGACCCAGGCCTTCATAGCCTTGATAGCGTCAGGACTTAACATCTACTTACAGGTAAGATAGCGTCAAGACTTAACATGAACTCACAGGTAAGATAGCGTCAGGACTTAACATGAACTCACAGGTAAGATAGCGTCAGGACTTAACATGTACTTACAGGTAAGATAGCGTCAGGACTTAACATGAACTCACAGGTAAGATAGCGTCAGGACTTAACATGTACTTACAGGTAAGATAGCGTCAGGACTTAACATGAACTCACAGGTAAGATAGCGTCAGGACTTAACATGTACTTACAGGTAAGATAGCGTCAGGACTTAACATGAACTCACAGGTAAGATAGCGTCAGGACTTAACATGTACTTACAGGTAAGATAGCGTCAGGACTTAACATGAACTCACAGGTAAGATAGCGTCAGGACTTAACATGTACTCACAGGTAAGATAGCGTCAGGACTTAACATGTACTTACAGGTAAGATAGCGTCAGGACTTAACATGTACTCACAGGTAAGATAACACTAGGCCTGAATAATATCGCCATATAAGAGAGTTGCATGCCTTATTTACATGTACTCACAGGTCAAAATGTTTGCCATACGTTAATTGCAGGTATTCACAAGTTTAACACACATGGCTTTAATTACAGATACTGACTTGTAAACAGCGCCAGTCTTTAAGTATACAATTGATAGATATAACATTTTCCCTATGATTGTGTTGTGTTCATGGGTGCGTTTCACTAAAACACACTGTGGTAAAACATTTGATGTTCCATGAAAGCGTTATAAATAGCAGACGTAACAAAGATTTGCCAATATCTCTTATCATAAGATAAATGGACGAAAAAATCAAGAAATCAATTGTTATTTTCCAGATCTAAAGAAATGAAGGTGTTCAACTGTACAACGGGATCCATCAACAGTTTGACCTGGGGAGACATGGGTAACTTGATTGCACATAATCTATGGTTCTTGTGAACTCGAAACAAGTGCTGGGAATGTTTAAACTACAATTATAAGAAATGCGACACTGAAGTTGCTGGGGAAATGTTTTATTCGTCAACATAATGTTTATGAATGTTTCTAGACATTTCAGTCTTGTACGTGGACCCCGATTCCCATATTCTTACACGCTAATGTGTCAGCTATCAGTTATAAAATAATCTGTATTAGTCATGAAATATTTAGAAACGACACATCAATTATCAACCAAAAGGTATCCACATAAGTATCAACCGGAAATCATGTTTGAGAGAGATATCAGGGTCACTATATTTTTATTTGATTTTAAGTATAGACCAATTATGATAAAGTACATGCTTCCCGTTAGTAGATTTATCGTATTCATTCAGTCATAAACACTATAAATGAAAAATAGAAGAAACATTCGACTTTGATACATTATACTACAGCAACGCGAAATTTCATGTTATCAGTGGTTGAAAAATATTTTAGCATACCTTCTTGAGAGGAATCAGCACCTTTAAAAACATCAAAGGTGCACCGATGTTTACGGTATAACATTAATCACAGAGCGTACGAAGGGGGATGTCCACGAACCCTGTCCGCACGATGTAACGCAAAATACAACTGATGAAATTTAAGTACATTTCGGTCATTTGTAATTGTAACAGTGTCATGTCTCCAACCGTATCATTGTATAGTTGTATGTAACAGTGCAATTTGTCTCCACAGTATTTTATAATTGAATGTAACAATGTCATATATCTCCCACAGAGGACTACACCAGACAATATTCCATGAAGAACCCCTTTAATACGGTAACCCGGGTACCAAGCCTGATGTTCACCAAGTGTGTGTGAGTACGTCGGTTTTGCATGATAATATCAGTAAAAGATATATAAAGATTCTATAATAATAAACCTGTTCCTAGCTGTAAGTAATTTGTTTTCATAACGGGGTTGGATATTATCAGTTTCACTAAAGAATTAGACCATTATTAAGTTCAAGAAAGGGGAAACAACTAAGATGATTGACGTTTAGTCATTTCGATTATAACAAAGCATTTCACCTTTGTACTGTACCGGTTGGTTAGCTAGACACAGATGTTGTATTTTTAATTCATAAAAAAGCGTGATCTTAGACATGTTCGTTTTCGAAGGTAAGAAATAAAACTGGGGAAAGCAGAACGAAAAATATATCTAGACAAAACATAAGCGAAAAGCTTGCTTACAGCGCTGACTTCATTTTCAGATTTTGGCACGACATCAACGTATTGTTTAATCAGGTGCTACCTTCCTACCTCCTGGATATGTATATGTGGAGTACCGGCAAAAAACCCATGTAAGTTAAAATCTTAAATCATTGCCATCATATAAAACCCATGTAAATCAAAATCTTAAATTATTGACATCATATAAAACCCATGTAAGTCAAAATCTGAAATCATTGCCATCATATAAAACCCATGTAAATCAAAATCTTAAATTATTGACATCATATAAAAGCCATGTAGACAAAATTCTTAACGTCATTGGAGTTATATAAAGTCCATGTAAGTAAGCATCTTGAAGTCATTGACATCCTATAAACCCATGTTAGTCAGAGTCAATTTAACATATAACCTCAAAGTCATTGACATCATATAACGTCAATGTAACATAACCTCAAAGTCATTGACATCAAATAAAGTCAATGTAAGATATGACCTCGAAGTAATTGACATCAAATAACGTCAATGTAACATATAACCTCAAAGTCATCGACATCATATAACGTCAATGTAAGGTATGACCTCGAAGTAATTGACATCAAATAACGTCAATGTAACATATAACCTCAAAGTCATCGACATCATATAACGTCAATGTAAGGTATGACCTCGAAGTAATTGACATCAAATAACGTCAATGTAACATATAACCTCAAAGTCATCGACATCATATAACGTCAATGTAAGGTATGACCTCGAAGTAATTGACATCAAATAACGTCAATGTAACATATAACCTCAAAGTCATCGACATCATATAACGTCAATGTAAGGTATGACCTCGAAGTAATTGACATCATATAACGTCAATGTAAGATATGACCTCAAAGTCATTGACATCATATAAAGTCAATGTAACATATAGCTTCAAGTCATCGACATCATATAACGTCAATGTAAGGTATGACCTCAAAGTAATTGACATCATATAACGTCAATGTAAGATATAACCTCAAAGTCATTGACATCATATAAAGTCAATGTAAGGTATGACCTTAAAGTCATTGACATCATATAACGTCAATGTAACATATAGCTTCAAGTCATCGACATCATATAACGTCAATGTAACGTATGACCTCGAAGTAATTGACATCATATAACGTCAATGTGAGATATGACCTCAAAGTCATTGACATCATATAAAGTCAATGTAAGATAT